GTAACCGTTGTGACCAATGGTGGTCACCACGCCCCGCTTTCTGGTCATGTTTGGCATTTTAAACGGGTCACACAGTTTAATCTGTATATGGTTGCGATTCAACACAACTTCCTTGTTTCAAAGCCGGTGATGCACACGTATGGGACATGGTTTCCAGTGGTACACTCAGTTCGTTCAAACATTTCTGATCGTTATTTCTTCGCTTTGATCGCAGACAGCTGCGGCATGTCTGTATCCGTACAGCTCGACCTTGGATGAGTGACACTGCCCACCTGCTGCGCCAGACATACCCTCCGTGTTTCGTGCTAGCTTTAAGGGATGTGGACAAGGCTCATATGGATGAAGCTAACGGTTAACTCGCAGTTTGCCCTTAACCCTTTAACATACTCATTCTGGCTTAAAGTTTCGGGATGTACATGACATGTACATGCTAGTTCTTTGAAGAATTGCTTTACAGCATAGGCCTAACGCTCTCATGAATACTGTCTACCGTCTCTTCAACATCGATTTGCAGACTTATGATGCAGTCTACCGGGTGACAGCATCGCATGAGCAGAATTCTCGTCAACCTTTGCATCGACCGTACACCGAGAATAGAATACGTCCAGTAGAACTGAACACTGTAAAATTGATGCCCAGATTTACCCCATCTTTCTTTCTACTGAACCACGATATGATGGGGTCCTCTCTGCCCATTAAAGAAAACCGGGAACGCTTGATCTCTACAGTGTGCTCGTTATGGTGGGACCACACCTCCATAATTCAGCAGACTCGCACCTCCAATTCCGCATTATGTGCGCTTCTACAAAACTTGAACTGTTCTTTTCTTTTTCTGACCATCCTTTCGACAAACTGCGTTTGACCGCAAATATGCACACGACTGCACCTGCGTTTGGCGTACGCACAATTATATACAAGCTATGGTTTTCGCCGGAAAGTTTGTCTGTCTGTCCGCACTCGCAGCCTAGCAGCATATCGTGCGAACTGGCTCATGTGTTCTGTTTGTCTCATCCCTAGACGAGCCGTCACGCAGTGTTATTTGGGGTCGCCTTACTCAGTTGCATTAATGCCCTAACAAACTCGAACAGCATTAGGATCGCTATCCTGGTTCGCACCAGTCTGTCACATACACACACCAACCGAAGTGAAGAGTGAACTCGATGCCTCCGCATGCAGTCATGTGCGCGCCAAACGCAGATGCAGTCTTGTAAGAATTTGCGGTTAATCACGGTTTGCTGATTGGATAGCCGGAAAACTGAGAGAGTTGTTCGAGTTTTGTAGGTGCGCGCAATTTACTGAATTGGAGATACATGTCTTTGCTGGATCACGGACATGTGGCCCCATCATACCGGACCCAGTGTATTTCCACTCAACATTTACGGTCTCTTTTAACAACGAGGTATATAGTTGAGTAACAGGAACTACGTCTGCAAGTCACAACCTGTTTTTTGTTAGGACGGTCCTGCATGCCATGCCAGATAGAATTTTTAAACTCGACAGTAGAAGCATGTTATACTCCAGTTCTCGGGAATGCGGAAAGCAATCGAAGAGTGCTGTTTCATGGACTACTCAAAAAATTAAAAACTGCATGCACTGGAGAGCCAGTGTTCTCTTTTTAGTCCTCTTTTCTCGTTGTTAGACGATTGATGTTGATGCAAGCAATACAGAACAGCCATTTGAAGCCCGTGGCCCCTCAGCTTTTCTGTGGGCACCGTCGATTGAGCAGGTGCTCTCCCTGTTTCATTTAGCCTTTTCCCCACACGCGTGCATCACGTGCCCATTGCATTATCAGTCTGCGAATCCGTTGTCTTGCAGTTTTTAATTGTCCTCTTTAAATACTTTTTATCTCTGCTGACCATGCATAGAGTCCTGGTGCATTGTCCACCAAGATTCCGAATGATTGCATAATGAACCTTTGGACCACTCTCTCTTGTTTTCTGATCTTGCGAGACTCTCGTTCACCGCAAATCTTTATTCAAATGACGATTTCTCGCGTTTTGTAATTGTCGCTGGTATAATATAGCTTGCATACATCTATTCTAAGTGATCATCCGCTGTGCCGTTTTCGCGTTCCATTTATCGCTTGTCTGTCTGGTGTCAGATGGAATTCCAACTAATGACGATTCCCGTAACGATGGTTCGAACGTGACAGTCTAAATTTGATGATCTACTTATACCTTTCAACTCCTTATACTACTTCCCTGACATCAGTACGCCGATATGGCTGCTTATTTTACCTTAAGGTAATAGTCATCAAATTTGGTAACTTCGTCGCTCGGTGAGAGGGCTACCCTGTCCTCTGTACAACAATACCGTGAAGTCAATTTATAGAGGACGGCGCTATTTCAAATTGAGCAGCTTACTCACGTCGGTGGCCTTAACATCGCTGACAACACGAGTGTTTGCTTCTAGCCACACTGGGGCTAGTTATAATGCACATTGCGGGCGATTCCCGAAGGGATGAAGCGGCCGCACAGTGCTTGCCCGGGCATTTGATGGCTGTCTGTTTGAATTTAGTTGTGATACATTTTTCTTGTACTAATCGCTTTCTATTCCTTCCACAGAAAAATGTCTCAATATTTGTGAACATTGCGGCGAATCGTTCGACGGGAAGTTCAGCCTGCGGAGACACCTCAGATTTGTTCATTCGGGTGAGCACGTACTTGTCAGCGTTGGTTGGTTTGATGTTTTCACTGGTCATTTGTGATATCACGTATCTTCAGTGGCAATAACCATGCCGACGACAGTAACAGCTCCCTGCTTGACGTGATGCTAATGAACCTCTAAATCTGTTTAATTCGCAATTGCTAGGTTTTTGCTGGAACTGCTAGTTACTTCCCTTACATGCCCAATGATGGAACTTGTCTGGGTTCACTTCAACGTAACTCTCTACCCCCATCATTGACGCTGCGTACTGCGATCCATCCACCCGCTAGACACTCCAGTCACATACGCAGTGGTTTTCTAACCGGAATATTGATGAACTTGCAGGATTACATTAATGTGTTTTTAGAATGCAGGTAGATATTAGGTGTTGCCTATCCAACAACACTCCACCATGCGTTTCAACTTTATTCGATCTCATCGAACCCGGAGCCATTGGAATGTTTGTTGGAACTCCCGCCCCTTTAGCCACAGGGTCACGACGGACACAACTGTCATTGATTGCTTGGAGGGTTATTTTGAACTACTCGATGTGTACGCATAATTACTTGTCATCAGTTAAGATCCCAGTGATAATTTTGATAGAAGTTCAGTTTAGTGCAACTCGCTGTCCACATTGCGACGGCGCGTCGCAATCCAACCACACTCAACGAGCTCATCAAAATGGACCTCTGGGACATTTCGTAGCCATTCATTTGCTAGTTGAAGTGCAAATGTGTCATCATATCGCACCGTAATGGTGAGCTGGTTTCTATCCTGACTTCATTCTACTGTAGATAATGCTGAAACCGTTGTATGTAGTAAAAATCTGTGCTAGATTGCAACAATACTGTAAACAGATGCAGTTAGAAATATCTACCTTCTTTCGGATTTTGATCACAAATTTTGTAACCTATACACTGCATTCCCTTAGTCATTTTACTGCAACATTGCTTGTTCTCTCATTCGGTGTTCTGTTTTCTGTTCCAGTGCTACCAGCTCATATGTGTGAACACTGCAAGAGATCTTTTTACCGAATTAACGATCTCCAAAGACATTTAAAGTTTGTTCATTCAGACCCCGTTCAAGTGAGTGAATAGAATATCCAACCATTGAGCACCTAGCACCAGTCTTCACTGCCCTGCCGACGAAGTTGTCTATTAACCTCCTGTCTGGTGTGCCCCACGAAATTTACTTATTAGGGTCTACCTGGATGCATTCTTATAGTGATACCTCGCTATTTTAGACACGTGTTGAATGATGCTGCGGACCGGCATCTTAGAGCATGGTTTTTCACTCTCTGTCATGGGTTGTTGTTTGTTTATATCTCCACAGTTGGCATTTGGTGATATTAGTAGAAAACAGTGATACTGCACCACCTTCGGAGACTTCTCGCTACGTTGGGTGGTCAAATACTGAATGCCTCTTCATCTTCCGGTCACCTCGCCTTGTGCCCCGATGCAGCAACAGTGTGTAATACAAGCCACGAAAACCGGTAAACAGCCATACGGAAAACATGCCCTAGCCAACCTAAAGGGTTAACCTTCATCAAACACTCGTGCGTGGCCTGTGGCGTCTGTGTCTTTATTGCCAGTCCAAGATACACGCCTAGCGTTGACTGTCCCTACATGTGCTTGTGTGCCTGTCTGTTGATTACCCACTCGCTAGAGGTTTGTCTCAACTACTTGATTGATGTGCTGTACACTTGCCAGAATTCACGTTCCATGCTAACAGCTTGATGTGCTCTATTGCTCTTGGGTCCCTCGGCCAGCATCCATTGCTGCGTTCGCATGCTTGCGTTAGTTCCGCACAGCCCCGCTTCAAAATAATATCAGAAGGAATCTTTTCAATAATCAACTCTCGGACAACTGCATTGTTCACTCTGTGTTCCCACGAGACATGGCCATAACTTCGCAATCATGGTCGCTATGACCTTTATATATATATATATATATATATATATATATATATATATATATATATATATATATATATATATATATATATATATATATATATATATATATATATATATATATATCGCTCGCGGCATCCGGTTCCGTATTTGCCTTTCACTGAGGCCTCCACGGGGCAGCCACAGGACGTCTGCACCTACAGAGGGACCACAGGTGGCTAGCGCTGCACCATCCACAGCTCCAAACACACATCCCATATCCAGTGTAAACCCGAAGGAATAAGACCGGGAGGCATGTGGATGGGAGTCACGTTTCATCAACGGAGCCGGCCCACACTCTTTTACAGGCAAACACAAGCGCGCTGTATTTGGGAATCAATGGCACACAAGGCGTTAGCTGGACTGTAGTCCGCTGTACACTGAGTGCATGGAACCACTATTTAAGCCTAACACGAGCACAGCTGCCGTGCACCCCATTCTTCCAGCAACGACTAACTGCCTCCTGGAGGCAGTAATCGCGGCGGAGGGTGTTAGAGAGTTAGGTATCTTGTCGGCAAGCACATCAAACGCAGCCACCCCGGGGATGTCAAACATCAGCCCATCGTTGGAAATGACAATATCACATAATAGTTATCGAATACAGCATACAGATACACAGACTTAACTATTCGCTGAATGAGCATATGCAATAAATTGGTTATCAACAAATCGCGAGAAGTTCAATATATCGAAAAAGGATATTTAGAAAATGCCACAAACGCGAAAAGTTAGCGAATCGAACCACCATCTGATTAAACGACATGTGTAAGTAAAAAGGTTATTCAGACAGACATGTTGGTGGAATAACAAAATTATCGTTTATAAAATATTGCAAGCTGAGCACCTGAAATATAGAAATTCGGCGTGCAATCATGCCGTTACTAAATCGCATGGGGCGTATCTGCCAACGCTGCTCCGATTCTGCCTACGTTCTCAGAAGCAACCGTCGTCGTTTCGATGCTGATTCTGAGTAGTCCCTCATGTGGCTTACTAAACCTACCTGACTTAGACACTCACAACCGCATGTGCTACAGCATCATGCGCTCGACCTCGATGAGGTACAGCCCATCGGCGCCTGTCCCTTCTGCACCTCCCGCTTCTTTTCCGCATACATGAGGGCTTTCTCTCACACCTCGGCAACATCCTTCATGATCGGATCGCGCTATTCACGCCGATCCACTTCCTTCGAGTCTCATGACCTGCAATCATGCCGACAAGAACGTGATAGGCTCACTTTGATCATGTCCTGGTAATATAATTTCGGTTTACCCGCATGCCGCTCTCGAACACTCAGTTAACCATATAACACCTTCGGTATCCGTGTCGAATCCATCCACACTTGACTGTGCCACCTCAAGTGTCTCAACATAATATGCAGTCCGCTGCATACATTCCATTTCGGCGCAACTCCTCCGTGTCTGCTACCCTGTAGCACCAACCGATGCGCAGAAACCGTCGCAGACTGTTCATGGAACGGCTCGAGATATCGCACATCTCGCCGACTCGTCATCCAGTATATCAGAACAGACAGCACCATAGATTCGTAGACCATCAATTTCGTGCCGACGGTAAGATGATGTTTGCTGATACTCGGTACTCAAGTTTCTCGAATTACGCCGCTGCTTTCGCTACGCGGATGCGCAGTTCACTCAGCAGCATCTGTCACCTATATGCTGCCACAGGTCTTTCACTGTTTCTGTGCATTTTACGTCACAGGCGTGCAGCCATCGCCTTCTCCTGCTCAATACGCTTCTCCACTGTACCGAGGGAGAGAATGTTAAATTTACTTCTCCGCTTCACGGCAGGAGTGCACACACAGTGCAATAGATAGATTTACGAAAATATATGTAAAGTTTGGTCCGCACCAATTTGTGATGAGTGCCACACTAAGCTCCACGCAGTACACGTGTCATGCGCACTTCACGCATATCACGCTGACGTACGATGACATAGTCGAGCAGGTGAGCGTGACGACTCCGTGGGTGCATCCAAGTTGCTATATCACTCGCACCCAGGGCGAACCGAGTGTTCCTGATCGTCATTCCGTGAGTGGCACACAGTGAGAGCAGCCTGTCACCGTTCGCATTCGCTGAACGCATGCCATGCGGACCGACAGCATTTCTCCACATCGTTGCATCACGCCTAACGTGCTTTTTGAGGCGACATTGCCCACCCAGTAGAACGTATAGCCGGCCCAACTTCATGCAACCTACCTTGCTCAGCGAGCCGGATCTCACTGCGCACCGCAATATCGATGTTGTCGCGCGCCAGTTCCATCGCGACTAGTGCAGTGCGTCGCTCGGGGCGCTCATTCGAGTTCCGGTCCAGTAGAGTGCGCACGTTCGAGCACCTGATGTTGGTCAGGGGCTGCCTGGCTTGAGGCGAGCGGTAGCAAACCATTGAGCACCCGGAAGTGCCCTCCCACCGTCAGACACTGCGTGACGTTTGTGCTCTACGCCAATCGAGCTGTGAGCTTATACCCCGTAGACCTGTTGTCTCCAATGGCTAGGTTTACAGGAAGAGGGCCATCGACTACTTCCTAACCTCCGAAGAGCAAGGGGTTTAGACTAGGAAACTGGCAGATTAGACCCTCTGTCCGGATCTAGCCACGACAAGCCTCAGCGTACCATAGGCTCTCCCGCCCATATATATATATATATATATATATATATATATATATATATATATATATATATATATTCTAACATCCTTAAATACCCAACCTTTCAAGGATATCCTACTAGGCCGCTGTCTACATAGATGGTCGTACCTTTCGAAAGCAACGCGGACCTTACTGATACACGAAATCAACTCTTCACTGATGTGACTACTAGAGGTGACGCGGCTACCAAGGTAAGTGAACTGTTCCACAACCTTCTATAGCCTTTCGGTGATCGCTCGAACCTGCATTGTAGCATACCATTCCTGCAATAGCAATTTGAGAATGCGAGGCACTTGTCGAAGGGTGTGGCGCTACTCACGAATCCATCCTGTTGTCTTTTCATAGCCTTTCTATCAGACCCAAGGAGAACTAGGTAATCCGCATACTCCTTGCTTGTCAGTCGGTCACCTAGTGGAACTTCTACTCCGGAAGATTGAATGAACCGAGTTATTTGAAGTGAACGTTGGGTGCAGGACAACTCGGGCGAACCCCGGTTTTTTTCTGCGGAGCTCTAGGAACAGCTTCTCTTATACCCTTACACGGTCTGTGGAGTCAGGATAGAGAGAGCAATTTCGCTGGCACGCCTTTCATAGATACACGGTGTTGCATACTGGTGCGTTCAGCAGAGTGAAATGCGAATTTCTAGTCAAGACAAACCACTATAGTTGGTCGTATGTAAGTGGGTCTTTTCTCTAACACTTGACGAAGAGTAAGGACGAAAGCTAACCTTGTTTTCAGTGATTCTGCTCTTACGGGACCAGTAAGTCGTCGAAGGATGATACCCGTGTTAAGTTCGCAGGCAGCAGACTTACAAATAATTCGTCGAGGATTTTCGAGCAGAGTACGCTGTAGTTTGGCACCTAGCATACAGTCACCAACCTGAAGACACTTCTCCAGTGTCCCAGTCTCCAGTCTACAAAGTGTCATCTACATATATCAGCGATGGATAATGGTCATCAAGTCTAGGGGTCTTGTTTGTTTCACGACTGCGAGCTTACCTCGAATCCCTTTCGAAGTAGGAGAATTGACACAATCTTCCCACATCAGCTAAACTGATTCCGCAAGCGGTAATGTTTTACCTGGCCTACTGTACTGCTCTTACAATGTTATACCCAACAACGTAGGACACGGATCTGCGAATGGATCAACTGTCCCTCTTTCTTGGCTATTGTTTTACTAACTGATGTCTTTTTCCGAACTGTGGTTCCGGATTATTTGGAATAGCACTCGGCTGTTCCCAGTGACACTTGCTTTCTCCATCTTACGCGAACATACCACCAACCTTTGTTGCCGGTCAGTTCGAAGTCTTTGTTAGACGTCGTTTCAGAGTTGCGTACACGCTGATATTTATGCCCATTGAAACCGTCGAACTGATGGATGCCCCGAAAATCTGTCCACATGTAGGATTACTCAAGTTGAGTGCACTGTTGGCTTCAAAACGTTGGTCATGGCACACATGAGGTGTTCCCAGT